AAAGGAAAAGGAAAAGGAAAAGGAAAAGGAAAAGGAAAAGGAAAAGGAAAAGGCAAGCTGAAGCTGACAGGGAGTAAGTAATCTGCACCAGGCCACAAAAGTACCACCATAAGGTACAGAATTGGACTCTGAAATCAGTCTTTCTGGCACCAAAGACTGGTTTGTTATCACTCAAGCAGTACAGTTTTTAATATATTGACGAGAACTAGAACACCTCCAGAGGGACACACAACATAAAGTGTTCCCCAAACTAATGTGATTAGGAAATCCTTCTGAATGAATCTATGCTTGAGACTAGCTTTCCATGTAACCCATTTTGAGAAACACTGTCAAATGAGTCAGAGATAACCCCATGGCAGATAGAAGGAAGAAGGAAGAAAAGCTAGCTTATGGAAACTGTGCTCAAAGAATTATTAATTAATAGGGACACATAAATTAAACTTCGGTTTAATAGAGGGCACCTGGGTGGCGCAGTCGGTTAAGCGTCCGACTTCACCAGGTCACGATCTCGCAGTCCGTGAGTTCGAGCCCCGCGTCGGGCTCTGGGCTGATGGCTCAGAGCCTGGAGCCTGTTTCCGATTCTGTGTCTCCCTCTCTCTCTGCCCCTCCCCCGTTCATGCTCTGTCTCTCTCTGTCCCAAAAATAAATAAAAACGTTGAAAAAAATTTAAAAAAAAAAATAAATAAACTTCGGTTTAATAGATATCATTTCTTTACCTCCAGATTCGTAAGTTCCAGTTCATGGCTCATTGCTGTCAAATAATATTTGATATAACATTCCAATCCCCATACCTTCATGTAGCTAGGTTTTTAATGCTTGCTGCAGAATTTGACTTACCCAGTAGTTCAATTCACATCACTAATTTTGACAAAGTATATTTACATTGGGAGTATGTATAGGTTTTAACTTGCTGTGTATTTCAAAAGGCCTGAGATTTGCATTTTGGGGGGAGATAATTTTTCACTGTACAGGACTCAAATTTTTTAGTATCTAGCATCCCTGGTCCCTACTGACTAAATTCTAGTAGTACCCCTCTCCAGCCCCCGAGTCATTTTGACAAGAAACATCCCCATAATTTCTAAGGGAGTGGTATCACCCCCAGCCGAGACCCACAGGTTTACAGCAAAGCAGAAAGTTCCATAAAACAATGACTGAAGATAAACACCTATCTTGATCCTGCATTCAGTATTCCAGCAAACAAATACAGATTTAATATGCTACCTTCAATCCTGCATGTCCAATGTCTCATTACATTTCTCTGTATTCTGTTAATAATATGAACAGATTCAACAAACTGCCAAAATACCATTTTTAGCCCAAAGGGCCAATCCCTATATACTGTGCCGACAACAGCGATAAACCTGGGCAGAAGCTAAGCCCAGGATTGCATGGGGGTACTGGCTTACACCTGAGGCAGCAGCCACAGAACAAAAAGTATACCTGAACAGGTTATCGTTTTGTCAAATTTGGGCTTTAAGAAGGATGCTGGTTTTTTTCTTTTTAAAATGGTTTATTATCCAAAAGCTTGCTCCCTGTCACTGCTGAATCAGCTCAGCAATGCAGCTCTATCCTTTTTTAGGGTGGTTAGGACCCAAATAATTTCAGACCAAAACTAGAAGCACAACCTCCAACTACAACAACCAACTTGGCTGTTGGCTCAGGAACATATTCACAGACATGTCAGTATGTATTCCAGAACCCGGGTTTCATTTCTTGATCGGAATGCCAATCACCATAAAGTCTTCTGCTAGAGTCACTTCTTGGAGATCTAACACTGATTCGGCTTGCTTTTTCAGTTCTACAATCCCATCTGTTTCTCCTTCTCTGGCCAAGGCAACTGGCTTGTACCTCTGACTGAAGTGAGTCAGAACTAGCCTCTTTGCTTGGCACAACTTTGCAAATGCTGCTGCCATCTGTGGTGTGCTGTGGCCGTGCTCCTTTGCTTTGTCCATCTGGGCATCATCTAGGGTTGCTTCATGGATCAACAGGTCTGCTTCAAAGCACAGCTTCACTCCTCCGTCACCCACAACCCCAGAACAGTCACCCAAAATGCAGATTTTTCTTCCAACGATAGGCTTTTTTAAGACATCTTGGGGAGAAATTGTAACTCCATTTTCCAGAACAACAGAAATTCCATTTTTCAGCTTCCCATAGGCAGGACCTGGCGGCACACCTAATGATGGAGGCAGATAACATCACATCATGGGAATGGAATTTATGACTTGTTAAGAGAGTCTGTTTTAACAGCACCAAAATGGAAAAGGCATCCAATTCTTTTCATAATCGTTATAAATATTTTACTACTTGTGGAAAGCTGGAATATTTATACATTTTTAAAAGTTCAGTGTTGGCTATTGATGTTAGTGATGCCCTAGTACTTAAAACATTTCCCAAGCACACATGTCAGATGAGTTTTAAGCTTTTAAGTCCTACTAAGACCTTCTTAGGGTCAAGCTATCAGCTTTGATTCTCGGCTGTGAACAGGAATAACAGTTTTTGAGGCCGCTTTACTTAACAAGCTCATCTTTTGAGTAAATTTAACGAGTCCATTTAAATAATGACAAAGTACCTACAGACTGACTAACTTAATTAAAAAAATTGTTTGAGGGGATTGTTTGGATCACAAGATCAAGGAGAACTTCTGGCAATCATACATAATCTTCTTCGTAGGCAGGGCAGTTCCATGTTTACCAAATTAGGTTTGGTAAAACTTATATTAATTATCTTACGTTAATATAGAACAACACCTGATGATCATCACTCTGAACAATACCTATAAACAAATAGAATGTGTTCGCTAATTCCAGCATACATCATATTTAAAGTTTCCCAATATAATAGTATTTCCACAGCTTTTAGATAATAGAAATACCTTTGGCCTAAGTCACTTTTCCTCATTATTTAGCGTTTTGTTTTAGTTGAGGAGGAAGGAAGAATTTGCATAAAGAAACAAATCTAGGGGCACCTGGGTGGCTCAGTCGGTTAAGTGTCTGAATTCAGCTCAGGTCATGATCTCAGAGCTTATGAGTTCGAGCCCCATGTTGGGCTCTGTGCTGACAGCTCGGAGCCTGGAGCCTGCTTCAGATTCTGCGTCTCCCTCCCTGTCTCTTTCCCTCCCTGCTCGCACTCTGTCTCTCTCTCTCTCTCTCTCAAAAACAAGTAAATTTAAAAGAAAAAAGAAACAAATCTACAGAAGATACCATCATGCTTTTTATAGGGTCTACATGGCCATGACAAGGAAGGTGGTGATGCTGGAGGTATAAAGGACCTGGACACTGCTTCAAGAGAGGTGCTGAAGATCCTCTCATGCTTGATGGCCTGGCAGGGAGGAGGTACACAGCCTCAGATGGGGCCCAAGTCTATCTCTGTATGCTTGTTTCCACCTATGATGAACCCAGGCATGTAAAACAATTGAGACATAGTATTCTGAACATCAAATTAATTTAATCAAGGTTGAATGAGTAGGCAAAGTTGATAAAGAAAGAAAATCCTGAAACAAAGAAAAGTAGCTGGTTGCAGTTGCAAGGTTAAGAACTCTGGCAAAAATTCTCAGGCCAAAGATGTCACTGAAAGCATATTTCAAAAGGAAGACATGAAAAAATAAAAGCCTAGACCTAGGACAACAACAACCACCCTCCCAAGCAAGATAGCATTAGCTGAAGATAAGAGAGACTAAAAATGTGGATCCAGGGGGCTGAAGAGAAAAGGATTCAAGTATATATTTGGATTTTGGTCTGAATAGCATCTTTTGCCCTCAAGAATTTCCCTTAATAAGCAGACTTTGGGCAAAAGAAATAAGTGGAGAAATGTCAGTTTCGGGCCTGGGAGAAAGGAAAGGAAGGTTATTATGACACTTCTAACAGCTTCAGCTAACAACAGCTCAACTGATAAGAAGAAAAAGAAGAAGAAAGAAAACCACTTACCGAGGTCTTTCAGTTTCTGTGCATTGAGTTTACCTGGTCGTTTCTTCTCTACGACTGAAAACCCAAAGGAGGGAATTCGGTGAAAGAGGCGAAATGCTTTTACAACAAACTGTTCATCATCAACCAGAAGGTATGAGTTTTCTTCTGAGTCTAGTAGGATAGTTCTTCCTTGTCCCTCTTTGGGAAGACTGTCTGTTTTATTCACGTGCGTAAATTCTTTTAGTTCTTCTGTTGGACACTGATCTGCTGTAGGCACCAGCTCATGGACCACGTAAGGGAAGATCAGCTCTGTGTGAGAGAGCTCCATGGTTCTCCAGATAAATTCCCGAAGCCCGGCAGGGCCATAGATTTCAATAGGCTGTTTGGTAACCACAGAGCCACTCTGCAGGCTGATTGTGCAGAGGAGGCCAGGAAGGCCAAAGAAATGGTCTCCATGAAGATGTGTGATGAAAATCTTGGTAATTCTCCCTTTTGATTGAGGCAGAGAAAAAAATTTGGGAGTTTTTCCAGAAATAAAAACCTATACAAAGCTACTTGAAACATGTGTAACAACTTACATAGAAAGCAGCAAAATGAATTTAGAATTCTATTTATTATCATAAACATACTTCTTTATATTTTTCTACATGATTTCAGAAGCAAGACAGGCTTTATGTTTTAACAAGATCTAGATGTAACTTTTTTCATAAAGCATCTTCAATTTACATAGTATTGCAGTTTTAAGAGTATTTTCCTACATATCTTCTTACAGAAAGAAAGGAAATAGAAAAAGAAAAGGGAAGAAAAGGGAAACAAAGAGAGTGAAAGCAAAGCAAAGCAAAGCAAAGCAAAGCAAAGCAAAGGGAAACAGGGGCACCTGAGTGGCTCAGTCGGTTAAGCGTCTGACTTCAGCTCAGGTCATGATCTCATGGTCCGTGGATTCGAGCCCCGTGTCAGGCTCTGTGCTGACAGCTCAGACCATGGAGCCTGCTTCAGATTCTGTCTCCCTCTCTCTCTGCCCCTCCCCCACTCATGCTTTGTCTGTCTCTGAAAAATGAATAAACCTCAAAAAAAATTTAAAAGCCAGAAAGCCAGAAAGCAAGCAAGCAAGCAAGCAAGCAAGAAAAGGGACACAAAAAGTGTACCAAAATAGTTCACTTAAACTAGATAGGCCTCAAACGTCAAAAGCATCTGACAGTTACAGTGCCCTCTACTGTTCCCTCCCGAAACAAATGTTCCCCAGGATCCAACTGGACCAAAGCCTGAACCCAAAACTGCCGTGTAAGGACCCTCTGCACTGGACAGAGATGAATTAACCAAGACAGAGCCTGCCTGTCTGAGTGAGGTTGAAGGGGGAGGAGGAAAAAGAAGATGATGAGACAGGAGGGGGAAAGGAGGACGCAGGAGAGGAAAGGGGTGAAGAACCCAGAGGGAAGGTGGGCAACAGATGCTAGAATGTAGATCAGAGGGCAGATCTCCTATGGTATTATGTCAACGTACATGTGCCCATGCCTTCTTTTCAACGTGAGCTAACACGATGGCTTTTTCAGTACATATTGGCTTAGGTCGTAACTTGAATTCATCAATGGTAAACTGAATCTACTGCTGGTATGTGGCATGATGCCACATTAGCATTTCTCTGAGATGCGCCACAAGGCATTTTAAAAGTAACAATCCCAATTAACACAATTTTAGTATAACAGAGGCTTCTGCTCCTAGCTCATGGCCCATCTATTTCAAGTATTTGATACCATAAAAGAACAGGAATAGTTTATTGTAATGTGATTTATCCTGTGACATCAAGGCGAAAGTGTTCTCCAAGTAAGTCTTTCCTGAGTTAATACATCAAACCCAGGCCCCATGGCAGAGAACAACAGTTGGGCAGAGGCTGATCTGAGATCTGGAGAACCCTGAGGCACTCCAGAAGTATCCTCAGTATGCTCCTTTTTGTTTTCTCTTTTTAGTCCCTGTTGTTGCTGTCTTTTGACTTCTTGGAACCCATTCATCACCCCCCTTCCTGCTGTCCGAGCTGCCAAGACACACATAAGTGTGACCTGAGGCCTCTGCAGACAAAAGAACTAGATAACTAGAATGGCTATTGAGTCATGATCTCCACGTTGACCTTAAAACTGCCAAGTGAGACTTTCTGGGCCCTCTCCCTATCTGGTGTAAAACAAAGCCAAAACTGAACACCAAAACAATCTGTGAGTCCAAAGCAAGTGAGACAAATTAAGTAAGTCAAAATTGCTTCCCACAGTTATCACAGGTTCAGGGAAGACAAACATTTCATTTCAAGAAACTTGATTTCAGAAGGAGAAGGAATAGCAACCTCAATTATCAAATTTAGGGGATGCTATCAAATGAAGAAAGCAAAGTGCATGAATTTCCTTTCACTTGCGAACAAGAAAATTACAGGGGAATATGCCATCCATAGAGAAGTGGAATTCTAAGGATCCCCTAAGCGATGACACAGTTATACTTACTGCCATAGGAAAATATCTGCAACATATTATTGTTCAGTTGAAAAAAAAAAAAGCAGGTTACACCTAATATGATACTGTTTATGCAAAATTGTACACACACACACACCAAATATACCTATACCTTTAACATATATACATCTATAAAATATTTACCTATAAGGGGGATTTTAGGCTTTTTTAATATTTTTCTGCTTTGTTTGAATTTTTACAATGAGAATGTACACTTTTTAAAATGTCTTTATTTATTTACTTAAGTAACCTCTACACCAAGCGTGGGGCTCGAACTTATGACCCCAAGATCAAGAAGTTGCATGTTCCTCTCAGTGAGCCAGCTAGGTGCTCCCTAAGTATACTTTTTATAAACATTTTTTCATCATACTTTTATAATACTTTTTATAATCATTTAAAAAAATTGTTTAACGTTTATTTATTATTGAGAGACAGAGAGACACAGAGCGTGAGCAGGGGAGGGGTAGAGAGAGGGGGAGACATAGAATCTGAAGTAGGCTCCAGGCTCTGAGCTGTCAGCACAGAGCCCGACGCGGGGCTCAAACTCACAAACTGCGAGATCATAACCTGAGCCGAAGTCTGTCGCTTAACCAACTGAGCCATCCAGGCGCCCCCTTTTTATAATCATTTTTAAGGGAAAAAGAAGAAAAGCTTAAGCTCACTCTTTAAAATTATGAAAGATGGGGCGCCTGGGTGGCGCAGTCGGTTAAGCGTCCGACTTCAGCCAGGTCACGATCTCACCGTCTGTGAGTTCGAGCCCCGCGTCGGGCTCTGGGCTGATGGCTCAGAGCCTGGAGCCTGTTTCTGATTCTGTGTCTCCCTCTCTCTCTGCCCCTCCCCCATTCATGCTCTGTCTCTCTCTGTCCCAAAAATAAATAAACGTTGAAAAAAAAAATTTAAAAAAAAAATAAATAAATAAAATAAAATAAAATTATGAAAGAAATAAGACATGACAAACCTATTACTTGTTAATCAGATGCTTGCACATTGGGGCCAAGGAAGCTTAAAAGAAGTGTGTTTAGATAAACAGAGAGCACTTCCTTACAAAACTCATAAGAGGAGGAGTATAAGCTGACAGGGTTTCAATGAATCAAATAACAGGTCCACATTGGGTTGACAGTAACCAAGATGAATTGAGGGTGCTGCATTCCAGTTTGAGACTGAGGGCTTTTGAAATGCTAAAGAGTCATAGATAATATTCTAGGATTACCATCTCACCCTCCTCTCTGAAGCCAGTAATCTTTTTAGCCAATACGAATTTCGTAAACTAAAGATTCCCTTAGACTTTATTTATTTTTTATGAGGCTTAGCTTTGCAAAATGTTTACTTAAAACATATATAATATAGCTACAAAATATAAAATATTAGAGAAAGGTACTGTAACAGATAGACGTGAGGTGGTACCCATGGCCCCTGGCTCCTGATGTTCATATCCTTTCACAATTTCTTCTCCTTGAGTGTAGGTGGGACTTGCAAACTGTTTCTAACCAGTAAAATATGGCACAGGGATGCAGTGTGATTATGGTGATTATGTTATGTTACAAGACTCCACCTTGCTAGCAGACTTGCTCTGGCGTTTCTTTGCCCTTGGATGGCAGTAAGGAATCGAGCTACCACAAAGGAGAAACCCACATGATCAGGAACTAGAGGAGACCTCTAGGGGCTGAGGCAGCCTTAGTCCTGCCAACAACCTATGTGAGCTCTGAAGCAGATTCTTCCCCAGATGAGCCTCTGATGAGACCTCAGCCCCAGCCAAATACAGAGTGCAACCCAGTGAGACCTTGACTCAGAGAAGACAGCCAACCCAGGCCCAAACTCCCTGACCCACCGAAACTATGAGACAATAAAAGCAGTAAGACACTAAATTTGTAATCTGTGATACAGCATTGGTAACTGACACAGGTATTAAATAAAAAGTAATGACTAATCCCCACACCCACACCTCTAGTACCCACACTTAACAGTTTCTTGTTTCTGTTTTAATCATCCCACCACCTCAACCCCTACTCTCTAAAATGGGGTATTACTGCCTCCACGCCAGCCTGCTCCTCCCTGAGAGTTCTCATGAAAGGAACCTCTGTGTGACCCAAGGGAAATAAAGTATAGTACCTGCTATACTAAGACCTCAGGGTCTTAGGCTGAACTGTGTACACCTCAAGGCCACGAGTCCTAAGTGAAATGCATTAGTTCCTTCCTCCAACAGCTCCTTTCCTGTCTCCCTGTTTAGGTCTCAGACACCATCCTTGTAACTTGGAATAATCCTTCACTTCTTCACATCCTAGACATTCAGTCAGTCACCCACTCCCTGCTAGGTCTACAAGTATTTCTTAAATTGAGTCTCATCTTCATCCCTATCCCTACACCCTCATCCTCTCTCTCTTCTCTCAGATGAATGTAACTGCCTTAACACTGGTCTCTCCCAGTACATCTGCCACGAGAAAACTCTGTCCCTAACACATAAATCAGACCATATCATTCCCCTGCTTAAAAACTTTTAATGGTTCCTTACTGCCAACAGAATAAGAAGGTCCAAATACCTTAGCAAACCACAGAGAACTTCATAATCTGCCCTCACTTTTTCAGCATTTTTACCTCTCATTTATCCTGGCCAAACATGTCACTTCTCTCCTAGAAACTCGATTACTTCTTGCTCACTTTTTCTGTTCCTTGAAAGTCCATCCCTACTTTTCTCCCCAGAGAAACTTCTAATCATCACTTAGATCCTAGCTGTATTGTTACCATCTCTGGGATGCTTTCTCTGAACACACAGTTAACGTCCCCGTCTTTTGTGCTCCAAAAGTATTTAGAAAACAGATCCATTATTCTCTTTATCACATTACATTATGACTACTTACACATCAGTTCCCACCACTAGACTAAGAGATCCCTGGACGCTAGAACTAACTTTCTTATAGCCATCAATGCCACACACTGTGATGAATCAGAGGAATAATTTCAATAACTTCCAGTTAACAAGTTGCAGTAAGTGAGAGGGACCATACTAAGTGCTGAACACCTTATTCATGCGTTAACTGATCAGATATTTACTAGCCCATCTACTAAGGATATAAATGATCCTTGGGCTTACTTTATCATACAGGGAAAATACAGCGAACACAGAAACAACTATTTAAATAACAATTTTAGATATTGATGCTAAGAAGTCAATAAAAATAGACAAAGCAGTAAAATGCCTGAGAAGAACGAGGAATTACTGAACTCCAGGGGTTCAGGGAAAGTCTCTGAGGAGATGGCATCTGAGCTAAGCTTTAACTGATGAGAAAGAAACAATCACACAGAAAGGGGATTATTTTATGTAATTTTTACAACACCCCTTTTAAGCTGACTTGAGTTGAGTTTCTATCCACGTTTTAAGATAAGGGGCTCAGTCGGTTAAGTTTCGGACTTCGGCTCAGGTCATGATCTTGTAGCATGTGAGTTCGAGGCCCATGTCGGGCTCTATGCTGACAGCTCAGAGCCTGGAGCCTGCTTCAGATTCTATGTCTCCCTCTCTCTGTGCCCCTCCTTTGCTCGTGCGCGTTGTCTCTCTCTCTCTTTCTCTCTCAAAAATACATAACATTAAAAAAAAAAAAAGATAAGGAAAATAAGCCTTAAGTTTGTTGATCTGCTAAGGCCAAAAGCCAAGACACTGCTGGGACTGCAACCCAGGTTGGCCTGACTCTAGGCCAAGGCTTTGCGCCACTGTACTCCTCAGTCTCCCTGATGCTGGGCCTTTGCACGTTCATCTCCCCAGCCCAGCAAATCCCTCTACCTCCTTCAACGACTCACAGGTCACCTTCTGTGAGAGGCCTACCCTGATAACCTCACATGAAAAAGAACACCTCACTCTTCTGAATGTCTATTACTCTTTGTATCTTCTCGTGATACTGACAACCATCTCCTGGTGGAATCATGTACACTGTTCCTTTGCTTGCGTAGTCTCCATCTAATATGCCTCATGTATCCCAACCCATCCTCCACCCCCTAACCCTATATAAATCCTTGCTCTCAACATTTACAGTACGAACAAGTAGATAAAGTTCAGTGGGGGAGGCTGGATGCCTGAGGGTCTTCCAAACCTTGCCAGGGCTCTAGCACTGAAGTGGGATGCAACTGTGAGGGCTGTTTCTGAGCAAAAGCCTCAAGGAAAGCCAAGAAAATGAAGCAGAGTAAGAGACAGTCTTGGTGAGAGAGTTGAATGCACACTAACCTGCTTTAAGTTGGCTTTTCATCAGCTGTGTCTGAGTTCCCTCCCCACAGTCAAAGAGCCAGCACTCGCCCTCACACCGAAGGACCAGAGCAGAGGCACCCCGGGTTGGGGATGGGTATGCTGCACCCGTACCCAGAAATGTCACATCCATAGACATCTTCCACCCTGCAATGAAAAGATTACCCAGGGATTATTACACATCACTGCTCGATATCACCAAAAACAGGTCGTTGTGAGATTTACTGTTCATTTATCTTTTCGTTATTCAGAAGAGACTGGGTTCTTATACAGAAATCCCAAGTAAGATTTGAATAACTCTTAGTGAGTTAAAACCACAAGTTACCAAACCTTGGATGGCTGCTCACACGTAGAAAAACAAACAAGTTAAAAAACTGCCAGATCCAGGGGCGCCTGGGTGGCGCAGTCGGTTAAGCGTCCGACTTCAGCCAGGTCACGATCTCGCGGTCCGTGAGTTCGAGCCCCGCGTCGGGCTCTGGGCTGATGGCTCAGAGCCTGGAGCCTGTTTCCGATTCTGTGTCTCCCTCTCTCTCTGCCCCTCCCCCATTCATGTTCTGTCTCTCTCTGTCCCAAAAATAAATAAACGTTGGGAAAAAAAAAATTAAAAAAAAAACAAAAAACTGCCAGATCCAGTCAATTAAAAACTGTAATTGAATCCCAACTATGTAATGTTCTGGAAAAGGTAAAACTATGAAGACAGTAAAAGACCAGTGGTTGAGAGTGGTTTGGGGGGGAAGGAGGGAAGAATGAATAGGTAGAACACAGGGGGAAATGGGTATTCTCATATGTTACTACTGGCAGAGGTGTAAACTGCTTTTATGTTTGGGAGCGCAATTTGGCAATATATATTACCAATAATAATGATGCTATTAACAGTACATTTTAACTCAGCCACCCTATTTTGGGGAATCGACCCTATAGAAATAAAGGACCTATGTACAATGTTTCTGGTGGTACTTTTAAGGTGGCTAAAATTTGGACACGGTCTGAATATATTTCACCAGGACAATGACTGAATATTTTACTGTACATTCCTACCATCAACTATTTATTCTGCAGTTAAGTCAGCTCTGTAACTCTTGTCCTGGAGGGACGACAATGAGAAAAGTTACAGATTTTTACAACATCATTTTTACAATGCCCCAAACCTCTGCATTTATATGAGAGAGAAAGTCTGTGTGTAAGGATACACAGCATATTGTTCATATTGGTTATCTCAGGAGTGATTAAAATGGTGATGGTGGGGAGCGGTCATTAAGTTTTCTTTTAAATCTTTGGATTGGTTTTCATTGCAATGAGCAGCATCTGATGACTTTATTTTATATGTTTATTTCATTTATTTAATACTGATTATTAAAAAGAAATGGGTCACAAGGCCGAACATACTTTTCTAACTACACATCACCGAATCTTCCTTTCCGTTTGGGGACACAGTCAGCCCTCCCAAACCCCCCCCCGCCCCCCCCCACCTCACCCACACAGATGGTACATCTCTCCAATTCATGCACAGGCTTTAGGTTATGCTACTGTCCCTTCCATGTGTTACTCCACACTTCTACTTCCAAACTCAAGCATTCCTCTGATAATTAGGTAATTTGCAGAGGCTTTCCTGTTGGATTGCAGTTTGCAACAGAGATGGGAATAACACAATATAGAAAGTCAAACATTTTAAAAGCTAATAAATGCAGAAGGAATAATAAAATATAATCACTCTGCAATCCCTAACAAATAATGGATCTAGGCCAATGGTACAGAACTCGAGAGCATATTAGAATCACCTGGAGAGCTTTTAAGACATATCAATAATTGGGTTCCATCCCAGAACAATTAAAAAGGAAATTCTGCGAGACATGTGTTTTAGTATTTAAAAAAAAAATTCTTCCCCTGTGATTCTAATGTGCAGTCTGTTTGAGAATCACTTAGTGAAAGGCTCATGGAGAACTATAATGGATGGATCAGGCTGACCTGAATTCACTAGCCAATTAGTCAAACTTAACAAAATAAAATTTTATTTTGAAAAATTTCAAACACATACAAAAGTAGAGAGATTAGTATAATGCATTACCACATGACCATCGCCAAGCTTCAACAAGTATCAACTCATGGCCAATCTTGGTCTATATCCACCACCCACATTCATATCCAAGAATATTTCATAAGTATTTATCCAAGAATGCTTGTTTGCATGGTATTGGGTACTCCCATCAGGAAGCACATGCTGTCTGAACGTCTCTCTTCCTGATGTTTAACAACTACTAATCATTGCCTGGGTTATTTCACTAGAGGTTGCCAAAAGGTGATATTCTCTGATTCCTTCTGAAGGCATCCTTCTGTAAATCTCTGGCCAATTAGTTACCCTGCAGTGCGATTTGTACAGAAAAGGCCCACTGACCAATCTTAACACCACAAAGAGAAACAAGACCTTATATAACTCCTGGTGGGCTGCAATAGGAGGTACACAATAACACTATGAGGTTTTCTTGCCAAAAAGTAGGACCTGAAATCTGAAAAAGCCTGTAATCTAAATACCAGTTTATTAAAGGACAACACAGGGATGGAAGAAGCAAAATCCAGTACGTAGGAATACAAATAGGTTGCTTCAACAAGTAAAATACAGAGGAAAAAAAATAAAGAGGGATGGCATAAGGAGATTAAATGAAATATAAGAGATGTCAACCAAATGTCATGTGTAGCTTGTTTGGATCTGGATTTGGGCAGACTGAAAAAGAGAACTGGGAGAAAAAAGAGACAACTGGGGAAATGTAAACACTGACTGGATAGATGGTAACATGAAATGCTTATTAAATTGATATTTTAAAAAGGAATTATTGTGTTTTATAAATGCAAACAAGTATTTAATAGACAAAACGGAACATTCAGATTTGCTTTCAAATTAATCTAGTGAGGTGAGCATAAGAGTCACCCAACAGAGTTGGGAATTCGGTATAGTATCTTGTTTCAATGTGTGGAAGTTTCCCCAATAAAAAGTTAAAAAATGAGTCAAATGATCAAAACCCACCCAGTAGGTCGGAAAGTAATCAGAAATTACTTTATTTACAATGGTTCATGTTTTGTGGCATGCACCATTCTATGCACCAGGAATTCAATGTGACCAGACCGGATTTGGTTCCTGTCTTCTTGAACATAAAACCAGCCACTTGCTTTCTCATGGCTATGATCCACCTTGGACCAAGTGCACATTCCGGTGGAGAACACAGCACACGACCACAGTACTGTCACCTGACACTCCCGGCCAGTGGTTCTCGTCCCGGCAGGATATCCCAATCACCTGGTGATTCTGGGGACTCAGCATTGGGAAGGCTTCCCAAACGATTCTAAAGGCTGCCGGGTTGAGAACCAGTTTCCATACAGGCAGCGCCAACCCTGCAATCACCCTGTGATCTAGGTAGGGCGCATACTGCCTTCCTCCATTTTGGAAATGAAAGAACCGTGGCCCGGAGACAAATAGATGCCAACGCCGAGTCAGGGCCACAGGCCAGGTCTCCGACCACCAGCGAGCCCAGGCTCGCCCTCAAGTCAATGTCAATTTCCCAAAGGAGGGGTGGGCGGGGGCTCCCGCCTTGGGGTGGGGGTGGGGGGGGGTGGAGGACAGACTAGGCGCGTCCACGTTCCCGGGCGCTCCCCGGGCCTGGGTCCTCCATTCCGGCCCGGCCCTCGAGTCCGGAGGAAGCGCCCGGGCTCGGCCCACAAGGCGAACGCGGACAGACGGCGGCGCAGACCCTGGCCCGCCCCTCTCCGGCGCTCCCCGTCCCACTCACCCACTACCCGAGGCCCGCGGCAGGAGCCGAGGGAGGCGCAGGCCCGCGGCAAGGCCCAGCCGTCCACCGGGCGGCGCCGGCGCGGGCGGAAGTGCCCCGCGGGCTGTGGCCGCGTGTGGCCGCTCTAGGATGCGCCGGAGGTCCGCGCTCGGTGGTGCCGGGTCTGGCCTGGCCGGGCCGCGTGGGTGGGCTCCGCACCGATGGTAGGCGCCCTCTAGGTCCGCGTGGGTACCCGTCGGCCTTCATTCGCCCGCACAATTCTCTGGGTAAAGGTGGTAGCGGTCACCTGTGAGGACCACAGCGCCCAAAGGAGAAGCGTGTAACGTTTTCCAGCGTGCTCCCAGATGAGTGTTGTCCCTAATGCTTTGTTGCTGCATATGTTTGTGTAATTTCTAGTCTTGCGCTGAAATCTTTCTTTTAATCACTAAATCTAAACGTTTAAGCCTACGATGCCTTAAGAGAAAGCAATGTGCCTTTGAATCAGAGTTCATAGCAGCATTACTCTAGATCCTGAGAACTCCGTTCTATTCCACTTTATTTAGGGATACACAGGATATCTGCTTTCACACAAACATTGCTGGTGTGTTCTCTTTGTGCACAGCATAGCCTGCTGGACACGACAGCGAAAAACCCAGACGTGCTCTGTGCAGAAACTGCACGTGGGGATTACCACAAGGGCAAAAAACTTGGCTTAAATTCCAACTTAAAAAAAAAAAAAAAAAAAAGGTATCTTAAGCTCCTATGCAGTGCCAGATGGCCCTGAGTTTTGCTAGACATACTTGAGATGGTCAAAGTATCCAACAGTTTCATAACAGGAATAGAGGTGCTGGGACTGTGGGGGTTTTGGAATTACCAGGAGAGAGGACTCAAGAACCCTTTTGCCCCACCCCGACTGTTTTATCCAATAGACCATGGCATAATTTACTTTTTGGCTTCTTCAAAGCCTTTATTCAAGTATTAATTGAGTTCCAGCTCTGTGGATGGTATTATTTTTGATGCTGAAATAATTTTTTGAGTATGTCATAGTCCCTGGCTTTAGAGCATACACTGAGGCTGGAAAAATATGTCTTGGGAAGCCACCAACTCACAATATGAGGGAACAAACAAGAAGACAAAATGAGGGGCGCCTGGGTGGCGCAGTCGGTTAAACGTCCGACTTCAGCCAGGTCACGATCTCGCGGTCTGTGAGTTCGAGCCCCGCGTCGGGCTCTGGGCTGATGGCTCGGAGCCTGGAGCCTGTTTCCGATTCTGTGTCTCCCTCTCTCTCTGCCCCTCCCCCGTTCATGCTCTGTCTCTCTCTGTCCCAAAAATAAATTTAAAAAACGTTGAAAAAAAATTAAAAAAAAAAAAGACAAAATGAGTGACAAAAATATAGAAAAAGAGAGATGACTAGATATGCAGTTAGTTAAGAAAAGGAAGGGTTTGAGCTGGGTCCAGAAGGATGGTTGAGACTTGGATTGGTATTTTGGAAAAGGAAAAAAATAAGTTGGATTTGGTCATGTGGGGTCTGCCTTGGCAAAGTATTAAACACCAGAATGTGAACTTTATTTATCCTGATACTTGCTTAGCTCAGGAGGGCCCAGGAAGACACACATCATTCTACAGCGAGGTCTTGGTCACAACTCAGCTACGGGTTACCCACAGCAGTACCCTCCATGGACTTATCTGCCCCAGGACTTCCTGCCTACCCATCAAGGCTTCCTACAACTCCTCTTCCCAACTCCTCTTCTCTTCCCATTAGAAAATCATGGGTAGAACTTTTTGCTTATTTTTAAAACTTTCCATTATGGGAAATTTTAAACATATAGAAAAGTTGGGAAAATGTCTAATGAACTTTAATGAATAGTGATCACTCACCTTCAATAGTAACATCTGGTCCATCTTGTTTCACCTACAACCAACCCTTCCCCCTTCAAAAGCAACAAAAACCTGGATTATTTTCAAGCAAATTCCAGACACAATATTACTTTATCTATAAATAGTTCTATAAGCATTTAAGAATCCTCTGTTGGGGGGCGTCTGGGATGGCTCAGTCAGTTGAGCACCTGACTCTTGGTTTCCCCTGAGGTTATGATCTCATGGTTTGGTGAGTTTGAGCCTGGCATCAGGCTCTGTCCTGACAGCATGGAGCCTGCTTGGGATTCTCTCTCTCCTTCTCTCTCTGCCCCTCCCCTGCTCATGCTGTCTCTGTATCTCTCAAAAATAAATAAATACACTTTAAAAAAAAAAAGAATCCTTTTTTTGGTAAAGTCTTATCACTATATAATGATAGGCAGTTGAGTATATAAATATAAAAGATAAATTTTTTGTTATATGATCATAATATTATCATAAGGAGACAATAATTCCTTAATATCAAATATCCATTCATTGTTTAAATTTTCCTGATCATCTCATAACTTTTTGAGGCTCATTTGTTCAAATCAGAAAATAAAAATACACAATAAAAACATTAAAAATCTCTTCATGTTATTGTCTCCCCTGAAAAAGTTAGCAATTCCTTCATCTAATTTGTTAAAATACCCAGTTATTTATTAATATCATCTAATAACTGTTCAGTGTTCAATTTTCCCTAATTATTCCCAAAGAGTCTCATATGTAGTTGGTTTGTTTGAACCAGGATTCAAAAAAAAAAAAATGTTTAGACTGCATTTAGTATGAGTTTCTAAAGTTTCTGTTAAACTTTGATGGTTTCTTTTCCCTCTCCTTTTTTCTTGCCATTTATTTGTGGAAGAAATTGGGTTGCTTATACTCTAGATCTAGTTTCCGAAATTCTGGACTTGGCTGATTCCGTCTCCATGTAACGTGTTTCTCTATCCCATGCATTTCCTATCACATGGGAGTTAGATCTAGAGGCTTGTTCTAGGCCTTTTAGTGGGCAGAGCTAATAAATACATATTTTTTAAAGTAAAATAAATCGGGGCACCCGGGTGGCTCAGTCGGTTGAGCATCAGACTTCAGCTCAGGTCACGACCTCACGGTCTGTGAGTTCGAGCCCCGCATCAGGCTCTGTGCCGACAGCTCAGAGCCCGGAGCCTGCTTCGGATGCTCTGTGTCTCTCTCTCTCTCTCTCTCTCTCTCTCTCTCTCTCTGTCAAAAATAAATAAACATTAAAAAAAAAATTTAAAGTAAAATAAATCATGAGTTCATACTGATTTTTTCAATTCAGTTACAAGATTACAGAGTTTTTACTTAATTTGTTTAGTTTTATACTGATGTCACTTAAATAAAAAATCTTGTTTCCTTGGGACCCTTGGGTGGCTCAGTCAATTGAGCATCCGGCTCTTGATTTCAGCTCAGGTCATAATTTCATGGTCATGAGATTGAGCCTGGCATGGGGCTCTGAGCTGGATGTGGAGCCTGCTTAAGATTCTCTCTCTTTCTTCCTCTGCCTTTCTCCAACTCACATGAGCGCTCTCTCTTACTTGCTCTCTCTCAAAAAAAAAAAAAAAAAAAAAAAAATCTTGGTTCCTAATGACATTAACATAATTTGATTTGGCTCCAGGAGAGTAACTTTAGCAAACCACTGTATATATCACAGTAGGTATATACAGTCAAAAACCTATTTTTAGGTTTCTTAAGAATTATTTTTTTCAGGGCACCTTGGTGGCTCATTTGGTTAAGCCTCTGACTTTGGCTTAGGTCTTGGTCTCATAGTTTGTGAGTTTAAGCCCCAAGTTGGGCTCTATGGTGACAGATCGGAGCCTGGAATCTGCTTCAGATTCTGTGTCTCCCCCTCTCTCTGCTCCTCCCCAGCTCACACTCTGTCCCTCTGTCTCTCTCAAAAATAAATATTTAGAAAAAAGAAAAAAGAATTATTTTTTCCATGTTGTTATGCCACCAACCTGATATACAGTTAGATTTTTTACTTGTTTTCCATTTTTAGGTACTGCTTTTTAAAATTTGTTTTAAATTATGTAAATTACTTACATGGATTCCAAAGTCAAAATCATATTCAGAAAAATATTCCTTCCTTCCATAGGTGACACTTTACTTTAAAAAAATATTTTTAATATATTTTCTTTATTTATTTATTTTTTTTTTTTCAACGTTTATTTATTTTTGGGACAGAGAGAGACAGAGCATGAATGGGGGAGGGGCAGAGAGAGAGGGAGACACAGAATCGGAAACAGGCTCCAGGCTCTGAGCCATCAGCCCAGAGCCCGACGCGGGGCTCGAACTCACGGACCGCAAGATCGTGACCTGGCTGAAGTCGGACGCTTAACCGACTGCGCCACCCAGGCGCCCCTATTTTCTTAATATTTTATTCATTTTTGAGAGAGAGGGAGAGAGAGCATGGGAGGGGCAGAGACAGAGGGAGACACAGAATCCAAAGCAGGCTCCAGGCTCTGAGCTGTCAGCACAGAGCCCAACACAGGGCTTGAACCCACAAACTGTGAGGTCATGACCTGAGCCTAAGTCGGGCACTCAACTGACTGAGTCACCCAAGCGCCTTGACGCTTTACTTTTTTAAATTTATTTTTTATTTTTGTCACTGGGGGGGGGGCCGGGCAGAGGGAGAGGGAGAGAGAATCTTAAGCAGGCTCTATGACCAGTGCAGAGCCCAATGCGGGACTCCATCCCACAACCCTGGGATGACCTGAACCGAAATCAAGAGTCAGATGCTCAACCAACTGAGCCGCCCAGGTGCCCTGGTGACACTTTATTAAAATTAGTTTTAGAGGAACTTCCAGTATGACAGCATGAGGTGCCTATGGGCCCATTCCCCAGGAAAACTGGTTAAAATGATAAAAACAAAATCACTTCAAGTCTCTGGAAATTGTCCTAAGGACATTCAGCAAATGAAGAAACATTTATTCAAAAATTCTACCAAAATTCAGCAGAACAGTGAGAGTTTATTGTATTTGAACTGAGACCTGTTTCCCCCCTTTTCTCTCCCAAATCAGTGAGACTGAACCTCCGCGCCAAACTGGCACAACCAATAACACAAGACTCCTTGTCCTCCCAGCTCACAGTCAGGGGGCTGTCTTCCAGGAAGGGCTAGTATATCGGTGTTTCTCATGCTGCCCCCAGCTACTGGTTGGTGAAGCTAAATTCTAGGCAAGTGTAGCGAAGAGACAGGATGGAGGCTTTGGCTTAGACGTGGCTTAGCGAG